AACTTTTCCTTCAAAAAGCCATAGGGATAGAGCACATGAGCTGCAATCAGTGGTTTTTCCTTTCTCAAGTGCTATCAAAGATGGAAGTTTTCTATGGGAACCCTGTTTATTGCCTCTGTGTGACAACCTGCACACTGTGAGAAAAACTATGTGGGTGTGCATTGTAGGTGACAGCACTTGTTTGGAAGACTAAGGCTAAATGACCTGTGTTGAAAAGAATGCTAAACCATAACTGAGTGACTGATGGATGGACTTGTGCCTTTAGCTGTCAGCCTCAGCAAGTAGCACCATTTCCCTTTTTCATTGTGATCCCTGCTGAAAGGGTCTCCAATAAATTTCTAAAAATGTATCCATTGCATCATATAGTATTTTTTCCTTTAAGTAGCCTACTGAAGGAAGAATTGCACAGGAGTTCAGTATTGCATAGGCACAGTAAGCATTTTATTGTTAGCCATTCCTCTTACTTCCTTAAAATCAGGCAGTTTATAATATTTCCTAAAATTTCCTTGTAGGTGCAATAAAAATCCCCTGATTTTCCCTGAGCAGAGATTATGTATCAGTTAACTTTGAAAGTCATGATAACAAATCATTAGATAATCCTCTTGTTCACAGTTCATAAACTGTTCATTTGAAATGCTTGATAAAAAAAATCTGCCCATTCAGCATTTTAGAAAAGGAGATACAATACCATTCGTGGGGGAATATATGTAGTTTAAGAACTTAAAAGATCATCTAAGTGCGTGGAATCTAAATATACACATAAATTCATAATGTGTTTTTAAAATCTAGAAAATGGATGTATATTAAAGTAAACTGAAAGAGGGAATATCCAACAGACTTGTGATGAATTTTATTTGAAATCTTGATGCACAGATTGAAAGTTTTTTACTTCTTTTCAGGGTCCTTTTCAGGTTTTGAGCAAAGATGTTCACACCTCCCAGAAGCAGTAACTCGGTTCAAATGACACGTTCAAAAGGCATTCTTCAGCACTAGATCAGGTTTCAGATTCCTTTTTACTGATCCCTCTTTCCTAATAATATCCCTGTGCAGTGAAAAACCAAGCTGTACATAACCACAGGATCAGAGGACCACTCTGTTGTCGGCATCAAGGAGCTCATCTATTGCAATGAGTGGAATGTGACATTAAATTTTAGGGGGTGTAATATATGTTGGTATAATTCGCGTTTTATTGTACATGTATAAAACGATGTACAAAGCATTTTTCATGTATCAAACACAAAGGATTTGGGATTGCAAAAGCTGCTGCTGAGAACCCAGGAAGAGGGTAATTTGCAAGAGAACGGGGATGGCACTGGAAGAGGATGGGTCCACCCGGGCACGATGGGCCTACAACGACCCAGTGATTAACGCCTGATACCGATCTGTCTAATTCCTCAGGACCATACATCTTCATGTCCAATTCCCTAAAATCTACTCAAACTCTCTTCCCTCTGGGAAATCTCATCAACAGACCAGCAGCTGAAATATGAACATGTAACAGCACAAGAAGGACAAAAAGACTGAAGTGGCATAGCCTCAGGCAGAAAAAACTGTATAAAACTCGCTCTCCGAAGGCCAGTTTGTGAACTTTGGGGGAACCAGTGCGATAGAGGCTGGTTCAGAGTTCACCCAGCGCTGACCCCTGGCTCGACGCTGGCTTTGATTGTGGCTGTTCTGAAATTCGATTTTGCACATTTTTCAATAAAATCCTTATTGATAAAATTTGACAGATTTCATTTATAACAGTGGGGCTTTCATTACGCCACAGTTCAACCCGTTTCCTTTCAGACTTCTCCCAAAGAGGTTTCAATATCTTTAATAAAACACACTAGCGTGGTGAGCTTGGAAGAGTCATTTGAAAAATCAATTACATAATTCAAAGTAAATTTATTTTCTATTTAATGCTATTTGATCACTATAACCTCAAAATATATTTTTGTTTTCTTTGAACACAAAATGCATGTAGGAAACTGTCACTGAAACTGCAGGTCAGGCAGCACTGTTCTGTAACAAAGTGTCTGGGCTCAGTGTTGGTATTTCTTTAGGACTCTTTTTTTTTTTTTTTAATTAATTTGCTTCAGTGTTACTGTTAGCCTTTTTCATCCTGCAGCACTAACAATTGAGAAACCCTAATAATACCTTGAGAAACCTTTGGGCAGCCCAAAGTAATACATGAACAGGACTCTGGGGCTGTGTACATAAAACAGACCACCTGAGGTCTATTTTAAAGAGTACTCAGAGAAAATGATAAAGAACCATGGCAATTGTCTACAGCAGTTTGGACAGCCAACCAGTGTAAAAAGATTACAAAAAATGAAAACATTGCACTGCATAATGAATGTAAAGGTCCAAGTACCTATATGCAGCATTTGAAACCATACACCAAGGAATAGCTTTCACTTTTGGTGTAATGAAAGGACTACAGGAAGTACAGTGTTACAAACACGAAATCATTTTCACAAGTGACAAAATACAAAGCAAGTATTACATGCAGTTGCATTTTAAGGACAGTTAGTCACCATTAAATGTACCAGTGTCTCAAAATCTGATCTTTTTTTGTAATGCATATGTAGAAGAATTTGATGTCATAATGAGGTATGAATTTAATTGCATATTTGTTGCTACATCAGCTATTGTCAAGCTATTAAGTTAATTACATGTTAAATTTTAAACTAGATGAAACACATTATGACATCTGTTTTTTCATATATACTACAGCCATTCCAGAGTTACCATGTTGGAAATGTCTGAGGTTTTGGCAGCTCACTGTCTTACAAATAGTTCATGAATACAATTAAACATCCTTGAGTAGCCTGAAGCACCAGCATTCAATCCTTGCCTTGCTCATCAGAGATACAATATTGTCCTACACTAATTCCACCTTTTTTTTTTTTTTTTTTCCCAAATATTTGCTGTATTCTCAGTCAGTGATAATGCTGAAAACAGAGTTGAATGCAGTCTCATAGCTGACAATCTAGCCACAGATTTTGGAATGAATGTACTACCGTCTTTATTAATGTTCTATATTAAATGAAATGGGAAAGAAACACTTAAAATTTTATTGAGTTCTTAAAGCAATTGCACTGAAGGTATTATTATTTTCCTTAGCATTTTCTTAACAAGATATTCTGTTGCAGACCCTGGTAATAGAAAAGTGTTCCTTTGTGTATTAATGGCTTATTGTCCTGGCACTTTGACATTATGTTTTGACTGATCAAAAAGTTTTCTTATCTGATCCCGCAGTAAAAAACTACAAAGCAAAAAGGTTGCATGTTTTCAAATGCTTTAAAAAACAAAAATAAAACCCCTCAAACTTGGTCGGAAAGCTGAGACTTGAAAGTAAAGGAATCTGTATACATGACTTGCAGACTGTAATAAGATTATTATTGTTTTTCTTAATAATAAAAAAGTTGATATTTTTATGTGTGTGAACAGGTTTATCTGTGTGGGAGCAAAAGGCAAAATGGCCATTGCTGGTTTCTGTTAGAATTGATAGGCTGGGAAGTGCTGCCATTAGAAACAACTAATTTCATTCAAAGGGCTGTTAAGAATGGCTGATTAATAACAGCCGCCATTACAAAGAGTTCATGTACAATAGGGGAAAAAGTCAAGTTTGACAAAAGCAGCATTTAAAAATGGGTATTGAATCCCAACCAAATACACTACTATTTTGATATTAGGGGGAAAAAAATTGGCAGTACATGCAGAGCTCTAGTATCTGCATTTCCAAAGCTGTAGCTGCTCTAGGAAGAGATTTCTAGCTGGTGTGATCGACTACAGGGCTGTCAGCCTGAAATAGAAACTATTTGAGCAGCACGAGAGGAGAGGGCATTTTTCTGTCAAGAAGTAGCTAATATTTCAATATTTTGCAACTAGACTGATATGCTCTCAAAAGTGTATTTCATGATATTTTGGCTTGTAATTCTAACTGAATTAGATTAGATGCTCATTTAAAAAGTTACTCATTGGAACTTGTTAATGGGAAGAAAACGACCTCACTTTCCAAGGCCAGTTTATGTGTTTATGCTAAAAAGGTGTTTTCTCTCAAGAGAGGAACACTGCTGAGATAAAAACTACTTGTTTTCTGGTTTCATTAGGATTTTTATCTTGTTGTTGTTTAAATGGGGCTGTCTTTTGAGTTTGATACTGTTTCAGTATCAACTGCGAAGAAACAAAAAGCAGGCATAGCTTTAACTGGCTGAACAAAAATTGCTGTCTTGGTGTTAAATCACCCCCACACATTTTGGCAGTTGAAGATGTCATGAAATAAAGGAATATTTAAATGCCTAAACCCAGCCAGCTTTTCCAGGTGTAGAGCATTCATTTGCAGGGGTCATTTCTCCTAAGAAAGTAATTTTTTTTTTCTCTGAGGCTGACTGCAAGCCAGGGTTCACATTACATAGGGAAGAGGCACTAAAGATCGAGCTAATCAAGCTATGCAGGGAGGTATATCAGAGAATACTAGATGGCAGGATTGGGCCACAAGTACAGATCACAGATGGGAGCATAATCCTACAAGATGGATTGCTTGAACATTATTTGTTAAAGGGGTAAAATGAATGCAGTAACATTAAATAAGAGAATAGTTTATTTCTCAGAATAAATATTTTCCTCCTAAATGTAAAGGTCAATATTCATGGCATTGAATAAGAATTGATAGCCAAGGGCATCACTCTCTGGCTTATTGCAATGTTTTGATTTTATAGATTTTTATTCCAGGGAGCATACTTTCACAGATTGCATGTGCTTCTGTACAATGAACAGTATTTGACTTTGAACTTTTCTGGGTAGGAAATCATATCCTTAAGAAACAAGATGAAAATTCCATGCTTCACTGTTGTGCATAAAAGTGATTTCTGTATTTGTAATTGAAGTATTGCTGTGGCAAAAAATATTATGACAACGTTTCTTCCATAGTCAATGAAAAACTATAAGGCCCTGTAAAAAGGAATTCAGGGCACCTGTGTGAGGCACCAGCTTCTCTGCTCTGACTGCCTACGTCTGCCAGCTGATCCAGCACTCCCACATGCTGAAATGGAGCACTGCTTAGAGCTCATCAGTGCAAAACATTTTTGAAAACCATCTGAAGAGTCAGCAGGTTTGGCTTTGCCAGAACGAACTCTTGACACCAAGACATTTTTACAAGTAAGTAGGAGCCATGAGAGGATCCCACTTCACATTCACATGACAGTTCTCTCTTCCTACTCCTTGAAGCCAGTGTGGCTCCATGCAGGTTTCCTATCAGGGATAGTTCTTGGCTTGTGCTACCTCCTGATGATGCTAGGCAGCTGGGTCAGCTGTGCTAACAGTTAAGTATTATGTACTTACTATGTCCTGTACAAAGGTATTTGGGTATTTGACCTGGAAGACAGAAATGTTTACTCTAGGTCTAAGACCTTTTCAGTCTTGAGTGAGCAGAACCCACGAATTCTGATTTTCCCAAGGATTGAGCAAATGATAGAATGCCTAAGGATACAGGCTACTCTCTATCTCTCTTGTTACAGCTAGGTTATTGTTCAGAAAGGAGAGACAGAACCAAGAAGAATATAAAACCAGACCCAAATCCCTTTATCTTGTTGCTGAATATCTTCCTTTGAAATGACAAGTCTAAAATTCTTGGGATTCAAACTCTGTTTCCATTTATATGTATGCAGTTTACCCAGAATATTGTCTCTATCTCAGGACTAAGTTCCTGAGAATTGGAAGGAGGGAGATGTGAACTTCATCCTAAGGTATTCTCTACACTGCTGGTTACAGCAGTCTTGAAGAGCTCACTCCACATGCAAGATAAGAGTGCTAATGTCAGCTGGGAGTACTAAATGGAATTTGAGCTAAATTCAGAGCTACTCATGGATGTTAGGTGTGGGCATGGCCTCTCTGGGGATGAACTTAGGCATTTCTTTCCCAGCTTTAAGAGCTCATTTTGGAATACTTTTATGTATCGGGATGGGGGTAGGGGGTGATGTCTACACAGAAAATTCTTGAGTCCTGTATGGAGACTCTAGCAAATTTTAAGCTCTTCCATGGATATTAGGTGACCTGAATATCTCTCTTGGATTTTAAACGCTGTGCAGACTGGAGCTATTACAAAACTGACAGGAAGACCAATGAGCAGAAGTAGGCTCTTATAACTGAAACATGTTTTTTCCCCTCTCATCTTCAAGACATGCACTTTTGGAAAAGTAAAGAGGGCAGTTTCCTTTCTTACAGTTACCCAATTTTAAATGAGGGAGTAAATTCCTCAAGGTTGAATTCAATTCCTTAAGATATTTGATATTTTTTCTGTGTGTTTGTTCAGTTTTCCCTCTGTGAATGAAATTATCCATATATATCTACCATAGTCCATGTTCATAGATTCACCACCAACTTCCTGGTAATGTATCATGCAGTGAAAGTGAGGTATTCAGCTGCAATTTCTTTTCAGCAAACTCATTAACTGACTTTTCTAGACAGTCACTGCTTGTCATTATTTGTGACAAGGGAGTTTTGAAAACTGTTACATGAGCTAGTGGTAGAAAGTACTTCCAATGTACATTAAAAGTACTGCCTCATTTGTTTTACAAAGAAAATCCTAGCAATAGCTCAGCTGAAATTTAATAACTGCCTGGTTTCACTGCTGCTGCTGATCTCATCCAAAGTCAATGATAAGTGCTTACATTTTTTCTGTGATTGGTCTTGGAGTGTGTGATTGTTTGCATTAACTATTCTGCTTTGTACAGAATTATGTACAGTTATGATACAGATGTGCAGATGATAACAAGCTCCTATGATTTGGTAATTTATTATTTTTTTTAAAACTGTACATGCAGAGAGTATTTTAATTGCTTAGCACCCCATTTCAGGGGTTCACCTGAGTCATGTCTCACTGGGGGCGGGCAGGTTTTGAGTTTATGCAGTTGTATGTTAAATCAACAGTCTTCTTTGCCTGTGATGTGGATCAACAGTCTTCTTTGCCTGTGATGTGGATTTAGGAGGTATTTTCTTTTAATTCCATAATGATTAGATTCTCCAGTGCACTGCTCTTATTTCTTATGGTGGTAGATTTTGTAATGTCAACTGAGATTATATTCCTTTGGCACACCTATCATTTGTATACACGTAAGGCACTGAAGGTGCCCATTATTTTCAGCTAACAAGTAATCTTGTTCCCACTGAACTTGAAATACATTGTTCTCTGTATCCTAATTTTGTCTTTTACAGTTATTTGCTTAATTGCATTTGGATTACTCTGCACCATGTTTTGATAGATCATATTTTAAGTTTGCAAGATAAAACATCACCATAAATAGATGCATAGATATAGTCACAATGGAAACATTATGGCAGCTATAGAGATTGACATGATTTACCATCTGTCAAGAGTATGTCATCATTAGCACAGTGGACATTATGGTGCTGCTCTGCTGGCAAAAGCTCTTTCTTTCCTCTTGTCTTACCAGTCTCTCAAGCTATCCAGGGCTGAATAGAGAGGTTGTACCATAACATTTCTGCACTCACAGGAACAGTGGCAGGACTCTCTATAGACAGGGTCTTGTGATAATATTGCTGCAGCAGCAACCCATTCCTAGAAGGTGAAAAGATTTATGGAGGTTCATGCTTTGTAACCCTTGAGCAGCTGGACAAATATGCCAAATTTGCCAAGTGATTGCAAATCACTCCTTCATGTGGGAGCAGCAACTTCTGCTGAGATTCATGCACCTCCTGAGTTAGTGATTTCCTTTCATCTCCAGTCCAAGATTGTATAAGATGGTAATGGTGCTGTGACAGGAATTGTTCTGTGGGCTGTATTTGGTTGGAACAATACCCATGGTAGTGTATGATAGTTGCTGTTTGCAGTGGCTGGATGTCTTAGTAAGATGTAATGCCAATGGAGAAATAAGTTTCATAATTTATCTCTTTGGGAAGGTTTTATCACATACAACTGTGAATGCTTCTTTCATCTTGCATTAGGGTTGTTTCTTTCACTCTCAGTCCCTTTTCCATGTCATAAAATAATCAAAAGAGCCATTTGTACACCTACAATAATAGGGATTTCACAAGAAGCCACCACAGAATATTTCCATTTATATGACATTGGAAAACTTGCTTCTGAAGATCAAGCACTAATTAAAATATTTAGGTTGCATTAAACAATGTGGTGTACATTTGGTTCTGTCAGATCAGAATGCACCCTGTAAATCCCTATACCTTGAAGGTCCCTGTGGAAGGACCATATGACCTATGCAACAGGATGTAGCATATATAGAATGTTCTAATAGTCTCCCACCTTCAGCATGCTGACAACTTAGTTGAGGACTTCTAGAGAGCACAGAATAACATTGATGCGTCCAATTTGCAGTTCAGAAAGATGTCAGATAAAATGTTACACAGAGATGAATCTATGTTTACTTGGTTAATATACACAAAGTCCTTATTTCTCTAGAATGAAGAAAATCCTGGTGTTGCAAAGTTTGTTGCAGAGGTGCATAAAAGTGAAAGCAGAAATCCATAAATATACATGTATATGCTACTATATATAGATATTCATGTCTATAAATTATATGGGTTTTTCAGCATGGAGTGATGAATGGTACATCCCTGCATTTCTCAGTATAAGTGTACGTAATTTCCATGCATGTTTCAAGAGATCAGCTGAATTCTTGAAGGTGAATGATAAGGGAGTGGGGGGTGTGGAGGACTGAGATAACGCCAGGAGTCACCTGCAGGCTATGGAAAGGGTGGAGCTACCAAACTTACTATGTCAGAACTCACAAATTTGAATATTTAAGTTGTTTCAGTGTTGTTTAATATATTTTCAAGTGTCTCACAATCTCATCGATTTCCTTTGGTCGATTGCTTGTGTTTCCCAATCACAGGGAAATAATGGTTTACTATGATAAATATTCTTTCAGGAATGCATGTTATTAATATGCCCCTTTAAGCACTGAAGTGTAGGCAGAGCCTTAACTGTGTGCTGAAGTCTTGATTTCACTGGGATTTAATCACAGGTTAAAGTGGATTCCTGAGACAGAACCAGAAAGATAGAGAGTGTACAACTAAAGGATGGGAAGGACACAACCTATTTAGCTCCTAGACTGCTCTTGTCACCCTTATATGCATGTTTACAAATCCATTTTCATACAAATCTGGGCAGAATTAGAGCTTGGTATGAGAAGGGAGCACATCAGAGCCTGCCTCTGAACTTAATTGAACTGAGAAGTTATTGAATTTGGAAAGTTGCTTCAAACCCATGTCTTGCAAACGTGATTTGCAATGACCAGAAGATGCTGGGATGATATCCAAAAGACTTTTAGTGAAACAAAAGCTATTAACATATTTCACAATGTGCATCCTGGCAAAGAGCTCACAAAAATTCATATTGATAAAGCCAGTGGGGTCTGGGTCACCAGTGTTCAGGATCATATTTTTGAATATTGGAAAGATTTACCAGGAATTGTGTAATGAACCATTTTCATACCAACAAATTTTCTATATTACAGAAAATAATGTATCATTGTAATGTATAGATTTGATGACATGTCAAGAGAATTTCTTGCACTCACCAAGAACCCAGAAAATGAAAAAAATAAGGGAGTGGTCCATTATGAAATAGATTCAATAATTTGACAAAGAATGTATTAAAATGTTCACTTTAGATTATTTTTTGTGCTATATGAACAAAAAACCCCCAAATATTTCAGATAAAAAATGTGTGATCAGTGTGAATAAATTTAGCTAGTATATATATTTCTCTATGCAAAATAGAGACAACTGTAAAAACAGAATAGAGACAATTTGAATTAAGCAAGAAAAACCTGGACAAACTCAAGAAGTGGGCACATGGCAATCTTATGAGGTTCAACATGAGGTAAAGTGCAAGGTCCTGAACCTGCTTTGGGGAAACCCCTGGTATCATTACAGGCTGGGGGATGAATGGATTGAGAGAAGCCCTGCGAAGAAGAACTTGGGGGTGCTGGTGGATGAAAATTTGGACATGAGCTGGCAGTGTGCATTTGGAGCTTAGAAAGTATCTTGTGCTGCATCCGGAGCAGTGTGGGCAACAAGTCAAGGGAGCTGATTCTGCCCCTGTACTCTCCACTCTGGTGAGGCTCCACCTTGAGTACTGCATCCTGCTTGGGATCCTCAGTAGAAGAAAGCCATGGACCTGTTGTTTGAAATGAAAGGAGGAGGGATTCAGACTAGTTGTAAGGGAGAAATTTTTTATGGTTAGGGTGGTGAAACACTAGAACAGGTTGCTCAGTGAGGCAGTGAATGCCCCACCCCTGGAAATATTCAAAGTCGGGGTGAACAGGGCTATGTGCAACCTGGTCTAATGTAAGGTCTCCTGCTCATTGCAGGAGGGCTGGACTAGATAAGCTTTAAGGGTCCCTTCCAACCCAAACTAGTCTATGATTCCATGACTATATCATTTCTCATCCTGAAAATATTTTGACATGTGAATTGTTTTATTTCCATATTCTGGAGTTTATGTAAAAGATGTGCCACATTACAGGTAATTATGCAAATCAAAACTTTTTTGTTGTTGTCAATGTAATTATAGTATGTTTACTAGTAAGACACAGCAAGGAACAATGGGCTCCAAATCCTTGCTTAGTTTGTTAGATCCCATATTTGTGTGCTATTTTCTCTTTCCTAACTTCCAGTATATCTTACTCAGCAGCCACCCAGTACATGATGCATTCTGTTCACTACTTTCATATGATATATCTGGTTATAGTGTCAGAAGCAAGGTTACTCAGTGATTCAATATAAAGGAATCACTGGTAGTGTTTGGATCAATTTCTCTATAAATACATCGTGAGTGGAATCTTCAAAAAGTGTTAGCATTGCTGAGCAGATTTATTGTCTCCATTTTGATACTCATAAGTAGGAACAAAATGTGTTTTATTGAAATATTCTGTATGAAAATTTGCATTTTATTTAACATGAAACTAAAAAAAACCCACATTCAATAATTTGAAACTTTGAGCTCCACTTGAAATCTGAATTCAGATTTAGATCCGAAATTAGAAAACTGACATTTCTGTCTGTAACAGTGGCTCTTGCATAAGAAAAGAAGATATAGAAGCTAGTAAGAATTCCACCCAACTAATATAGAGCAGTTGTTTGTCATTGTTATTTCTCAAACTGCTTTGCAAATTGACTTTCTCTCATTTTGTAAAGGAGAAAACTGAGGCACAGAGAGAGAAGGTGGCTTACCAAAGGTTTTACAGCAGGTCAGAGGCAGGGGCCCAAGCAGAAGTCCATTTTCTGCTGCCTGGTTCTGCCATCTATGCACCAGCACCATGGTGCACATCAGTGACCACTGGGAAACAGAAATCTTCTTCAGAGAGTATTACCCAGCCTTTGCCATAGCACAGGCCTTTTCTTATTCATTTATAGGCATTACTTTATCTGACAGGAAGAATGAAAATGGAAGAAAAAATGGAAGGAAAATCCCTTCTATTTTCAAGATGAGAAACTGGAACATTATAGTAAAATTTATGCTGCCAGAAACATTTATCCCTCTGTGATCTTTTACTGTTTCCTTAAATGAGCAGCTTCTCTCCATCCAGCCATAGTGATTCCCTCTTCATCCCTATGCAAAGAATCAGTTTAGACTGATTCAAGTACTTTTACAGGCAGCCAAATGAATGCACCGCATTTCACTGAGTTTGCAAATGCTGGTTAGGTCACAAGTTGCTCAGACAAAAATGTTCTATCGTAAACACTGGTTGTTTTCACTTCCCCTCCTTCTCACATGCAAGAGGAGTGAGATTCATCCATTGGCATTTATTTGTGAAACAGTCTTGTCTCTTCATACATCATATACCAAATTAACTATGTTATCTCAACTGCATGAATTTTTACATCCAATTTAATTATCCTGTTTATAATGATGTATGCTTATACTGGTATGAAGGTGTTTTACACTGCCACTGGGTTTCTTTCTGCTAAGGAAAAATAAGCTATTCTTATACAGCTCCTAAACTGGAGGTGTACAGCTTTAACTGTACTAATGTGGTTAGGTCAGCACAACTCTCCATTGTAAACAAGGTCTATATTGCACAGCAAAGGCTAGATTACTCGGGTTTGCACAAGGTCAGCCTACAGAATATGCACAACCAGTGTAACTAGTTGTGTTTTAATACATACTAATAACACGTGTCTAATTACGACAGTTCATCTTGACATTTCCTGCCTGCCTCTCACAGAATGACTAAGCGCTTCCCTCTCACCACCGGGCCAATTGCTGGCTGCACACTATTATTAGGGGTAGTCCTGTATAATTTTCACAATTATAGTATATGTCATTTCATACTTGTGGACTGCCAACAAGAGAGCACTGTCCATCCAGAAGAAAAATACTGCCTGTAATCACTTTCAAGGGCTGAGAGAGGCAAATGTTTACTCACAGGCACAGCTTTTTCTGACCGTGAATAGTCCCCGTGCTTTCAAAGGGATTAAGCCTGCTAGTAAGTATTTGCAGAATCAATGCCTTGATCAGCATGCTCAAATAGTTAATTTTGCTCTTTGCAAACAAGTTTGAAAGATGCTAAAGTAGTCTTACGATGATACACATGCAGGTTAGGTCCTGGTTTGGAACTGCATTTCAATTTTTAAAAAGCTTTGGCAAGCAAGCCCCCATTGCTACATTTACTCCAAAGTGTGTTTTGTGATGAATGTAGTGGTCAGAATGTCACACAGACAAATATTTCAGTAGAAATGTGCAAATAATGATAGAAATGTGCAAGTAATCAAATTACAATGTTACAAAATCTCATTAAATAATGGGATCTAGAAACTATGGGTTAGATTCATTACTGGAATGAACAGACACCATTCATGGAAATTGTAGGCTAATTGAAAAAAATTGTAGAATATGTGGATTTTATGTAAAGAAAATTTACATTAATGCATTTTCTGTCTTCTTTTCCATCTCCTCTTAACATGCAGCCAGCTCCTACTCTCTGTGGTCTTGCTGTCATCTTTTCCTGTCTACACCCTTTCCATAACTCAGTGCAGCACTAGATCCAAGAAATCAGTTTTGCCTGCTACTATGAAATCTGTAGTGTTTTTGAGTTCTCCTCTCAGCTAAAAATCAATTTCTCAACTTTGGCTCGGCTTGTTTCACCCTATGTAATGATACGCTCCTTAGTGATCCTTTGCAGATCACTAAGGAGTTTAGCCACGGAGGAGCTCACTTTCTCTCTTGTAAGAGGAAATGCCCTTGAAAGTGCCTTGAGCCCTTTCCAAGGATCTTTGGGAAGATAAATAGCATGTCTGTGCTGTCCACATTGATCAGCTGCAAACTTTGCGCCTACTTCTTATCTTCGCTTGTCCACAAAGCCTGCCTGTTGCTGTGCACATGCAAATGCCACCTCAGTAGCTGGCTCTGTAATTGAGAAATTCAGATGTACATGATAGCTGCACCCATGCCTCAGCTTCACCTCTTTGCAAGCATGGTTGATGACCCTCCGCTCCAAAAAGTTGTTGAGATCCCCACACTGAAGATGTACTTAGTGTTCAGCACCTGAATTATGAGCACAGTTCTATATTTTGGCAGTGTGAATAAAACCAATCACGTTGTAGGGAACTGGATTTGTAGAAGATTTGCAAAGGTAAAGTTATCCTACAGCAGTTGTGCATTGCATGAACTTAATGATGTCTTTATTCTATGAACTGTAATAATTAAAATCTAATCCACAGTAGAATCAATACATGTTGCCATTATTTTCACTAATGTATGCACATAAATAAGAGTATAGGGAGAAGCTGTAAATATATGTGATGAGATTAATGAAGCCTTTGATAATACCTCACCTGGTATTTTCATAGTTGAGGTACATTTAGGTACTGATAAACATCATTTAATGTTACTACATTAAAATTAATAATCCAAAAGTGAAAACTTCTTACCAGCAGCAGTTCAGTAAAAAATATCTTAAGAAGGGAAAAAAGAGCACATATAGGTAAGCAATGTCATACTGCTGCACAAAAATGAACATCCTATGAGGATGCCATAGGAGAAATGTTCTATGTAAATAAAACCAAATAATCCTTCCACACTACTTAGCTTTCTGAATGTTTAAACTTCAAAATTGATCATGTTCTTGTTTTTTTGCAGATCAATGAAAGCAGGAGTCCAAGGACAAGCAACAAGATTGATTGATGCCCTTCCTTGACATTTCAGGACCAGAACCACTAACAGATGCTGTAGAGAAGCTCACTGTGCACATTTTTAATCCACATCATAGACATAAGCGTAGTATGTTTGTAAACTGAGGGAGTAGGATATTATTGACCTGAATGACACTGAAAGCATTTGCACTCACAAAAAAATGTAATGATCTCCCTTTTAATAAAGCAACACATGAATAAAACAACAGCATAAATTAGGGCTGAAAATTTAGGATCATAAAATGCTAGAATATCCTGAATTAAAAGGGTCCCCCACAAGGATCATCCAGTCTAACTCGTGGCCCTTCACAGCACTATCCCCAAGAGTTACACCATGCTCCTGAGAGTGTTGTCCAGAAGCTTGCTGAACTCTGTCATGTTTGGTGATGTCACCACTGCCCTGGAGAGCCTGTTTGATTGCCCAACCACCCTCTGAATGATGAACTTTTTTCTAATATCCAACCTAAATCTCTCCTGAAACAACTTCAGGCCCTGTCACTGTTACCACAGAGAAGAGATCAATGTCTGCCTGTCTTCTTCCCCTCATGAAGCAGCTGTAACTGCAATGAGGTCTCCCCTCAGTCTTCTCCAGGCTGAACAAACCAAGTGAACTCAGCGACTCCTTGTGGCTTCCCCTCAAGGCCCTTCACCATCTTTGTTGCCCTCCTTTGGACATTTTCTAATAGTTTAATGTCTTCCTTTTATTGTGGCACCCAAAACTACCCCCAGGACTTGAGCTGAGACCGCCCCAGTACACCCTTGCTTGGCTGGTCATGCTGTGCCTGATGCCCCCCAGGACAGGGCTGGCCCTCCTGGCTGCCAGGGCACCGCTGACTCTTGTTCAGCTTTCTGTTGATCAGGATCCCAAGGGCCCTTTCCATGGTGCTGCTTTCCAGCATCTCATCCCCCAGGCTGGCTGTATATCCAGAATTGCCCCACCCCAGGTGCAGAATCCAGAACTTTTCCTTATTCCATTCATATGGTTGGTGATTGCTCAGTCCTCTCATTTGTTGAGGTCTCTCTGCAGGGCCTCTGCCCCTGAGGGAGTCAACAGCTCTTCCCAATTTACTGTAATCTGCAAATTTACATAGTATCCTAAGGGCATATGAGTCTTTCTAGCAAAAATGACTTAATTTTATTTAAGATTATTTGGGGCCATATTGAAACAGTAAGGAATCTCTCTCCTGACCAAGACTGTCACAAGCAGCAGCATACAATAGAAGGCTAGACTAGGAGCCAGCAGGCTGAGTTCAAATCCTTCTCTTCTTGATCTGCTCAGCAGAGTGAAGAGGTCAGTTTATCTCTCTGTTTCCCTTCCCACTGAAGTTCTTGGTTTCTCCTTTCTGTGTTTTGACCTTTTTGCTACCTTTGACTTTTATCTTATTGGAGCCAGACCATCTTTCCCAGTGTTTCCATAAAGTTTAGCAGAATGTGTCTCTGGGTCTTTGTGTGAGACTTCAGACACTGATGCAATTATAATCTGGCAGGAAGGAAATTAATTTCTTTTTTTAGGGAGGGAAATGATCCCAAATATATGTTAACATCTGAGACCTGGGTTTCAACAAGTGACTGTTTGCTTCTGTGGTGTCTACTTCAGCATGCCATTGACTTCACGGGACGTCTCCTGGGGACTGGAGCTGTGCATATGCTGCAGACAACTTTCCTTTGGCTGAAGACTACAGAAAGCTAGACTGGCGTTAACAGCTGCCTGAAGCACAGGTTACAGTAAAGTATATCGTGTTCATATCATCGTTACATACCTTGGATTCCACTGTAAGCCTGAAGCCTGGGAGTGAGGAGAACTCTTTGGACCATAAATACATTAGCTCGGCGCAATGAACTATGTGAATTTGTCCTTCAGTTAAGGGAAAAGGAGAAAGCACTTTCATTCCACAGTGGTGCTCTTGAGACTGCTGTAGTGCAAATCAAGACAGGATTTTTTTCTCTTGTCCCAGAAAACTTGGAGACATTTCTGTCTGTAACAGATACTACTGATATTCTCAATACATATATATATATCTGAGGCAAGGCTAAGTGTAAATCTTCATTCACAATCAAACTGAAATAATAATTAATGAGTATGCTTACAGCCATACTTGCAATAATAGTTCTTTATTATTCAATATGCATTTTGTAGAGTATTGGCAATTTTCTTAAGGGAGAATAGAAGAAAAATTGTAGAAACAAGTAAGAGATAATTATTAGAAACCCAGGGAAAAGAGAACTTTGGCTGTTATGATGCTTGGATACTGTAGAGAGGAAATGGACCAAAGGCCCAGAGAATCAAGGGTGAGGAGAAAAAAAGGCATGATGCTTTTATGAGGGAAGGACTTGGCAGCAAAAGAAATGTTTCACCTTCCCTAATACTGAATTTTTCATACGGCCAAAATGAGCATAAGAGGAAAAAATAAAGCCAGAGGTAGAAATCCATCTGTCTGAGAATGGATACAAGAGATTCTTCATTATTGTTGTTGTTAGAAGACCAATACATAGTTGGAAGATACAGATTTTTAAAAATAATGCATATTTTAAAGTAATTGTATCCACAACTACCAGAAGCGAGTTCAGCATAAACAGAAATGTTTCACTGCTTTCCCTAACAAGGAAAAAAAGGGCATAATATGTCTCTGATTGAAAACATGTCCTCTTTTCTCTCTCATTTGTTGTCAAAGTCTGACAAATTTATTTGCATTCACTTCTTCCAAAATTTCTGATAATTTTGTCACTGGCAGCCAAACCTCTGTGCCTTGAAACACAGCATTGTCAGATCATCCGAGCACAGTCTTAGCGGCACCGTTTACTGTACAAAAATTGCCATTAAATAAACAGATTCTGAAAATAGGGCATTAGGGTGCTTTTTTGCACTTGGAAATCATGGTTGTTTTTTATCTTACCAGAAAAATTGCCCCGCAAAGCGATTTCCGACCCTTGATTCAGCATGCTGCTTCGGCAGCGTTCCCAATCCCTGTTAATCCTGGGCATAAAAACCACCCGAGGCTACTGCGTGCTGCTGCAGAGCACTACACTGTGGGTCAAAGGGACAGCCTTTCTCACCTTTCTTTACTGCCCTCTAGCAAACAAATAATTTTGAGATGTTGAAAACATTTGGAGTTAATAGGAGAGACCCTACCCCCACATGCAGAGTGCTTCCAGTGAGCGGCACAGGGCTGTGCAGGTTTCACCTGTGCATTAGCTCATCCGTGGGCAGTTCCAGCAAGGCTCAGAACATGAGGCCCCTCTAGCAGGGCTTGCAAAAGCTAATCCACAAAATGTTTCTGCTAATTGAGTCATGTGCTTGAACATGTGGAAATCAGAAACGAGCTGAACCTTTTTATCTAATTGCTAAATTGAGCTTTGTGTACTTCAACTGAAAGTAGCGGAGGGGACCTTCCCACTGCACAACGTAGTTGTTGGACTGTGTGTGGGCTGAATGGGAAATTTAAAACAGGTATTTATTCAGTGCATTTCTCTGATAGAGTATACTGAGTGTATTTCTTTTCTCTAATTCCCATACTGTATTTCTCTTATACATCTATATATATATATTTGTGCATGTTTTAATGATGTTTGGGCATGAGTATCTTAAGGATATTTTTAAACAAATGCAGAAGCACACGTATTGACAGAGTGAAATGCTGGGAGAAAAGGAAGTAGTAATGGATTTTTTTTTTCTGTAAATACAAGTAATTTACAGAAAGATCCTCTGTAAATGTAATCGGTTTGTGCTAGTAGTAACTAGATAGTAACTATTTCTATCAAATTAAGTAGGAACATTGCAGTAGCTCCTGAGGGCACTAGTCATAAATCTGTAAGACTGCAAAGTCTGTAAGACTCTCTGCAAGAGTATCAGTGGCTCTGGAAAAATGTGTTCTGCTGGAGAACAGGGGAGGCCGCCAGAGATAGCTGCTTGCTCTTTCTGCTTGATTAGACACCCAGACCCTGACGAGTACAGCTGGCCTTGTCAAATGCAACATGCCAAGGCCAAACATGGCTGAGCATGGAGAGCTGTTCTTAACTCATGAAGCATGGCTCTAGTCCTGCAAGGACTGCGAGCACAGGCTTTCTGAGCTGTACAAGAGTGTGTGAGTAATCCTCAAGTCATCTAGCAGTAGACACAGAGCTGGATTAAACTTTTAGGTGCCCACATGCAACTTTTTTATTTGTTGACAAATCTCTAAAATTTGAGCAGGAATTAAGGATTAAATGTGGAAACCCTTTTATAACAAATAAAAATAAAAATAAAAAATAAAAATAAAAAATAAAAAAAAAAAAAGAAGAAGGCATTGACATAGTTGACATAGTCTGAAACAGAACTACCCAGAGTCCTGCAAAGGCACCTGGTAGGGCTTAACGTGGAAGATCAGCCCAAGCACAGAAGAAACTACACAGTGAAGCCCCACACACTTTCCCAGTGAGTTATCACTGTGCTGCAGCATTATAAGACAAAAATACCACCCTGCAGCAAGCATGCGATGAGTGAAGCAACACAGTTATTGATGCAATCTTGGAAGTGCCAGCAGTGCCTGAGGTTTTCCTTTTGGTTTCTCTGTGCAGAATCCAGGTCTGAGAGATCCTGACATTTAATTCTGAAACTCCCCCTGTGATATTCACGCACTTCCCTAAACTGGATATTGCACAAATTGGAATGACTGTCTGTGCTTCACTGATCATTCTGTGGGAAAATGCATCTGATAAAGAAGTTTACTTCCTTTTTCCTCTCAATTCCTTCTGTTTGTACCAGATTTTGCATAAACAAAATCCCAAACACCATATTCCCTTGAAAATATTTTCCCCCCAGTCAGACCTTAAATTT